GGGGGCTGGCGAAGGTCTTTGTTTTTAGGGGAAGGGGTGAGTGAGGGAAAGAGAGAGAAGGGGAGAGAGAAAGAGAGAGAAGAAGAGAGACAAACAGATAGACAAACGGACAGACAGACAGACAGACAGACAAAGGTGGAGAGATAAGAAAGAGTGAGGGTGTTTCGCAATTTCCAGGAGAGAGTGCGTGATCAGAATTATGTCAAGACTCAAGAGAGAGCATTATGTCTCTCATTTATGCACGGACGAACGCGCCCGCGCACACCCACACGCACACATACACACACGCGCGCACGCAGACACACGCACGTACCCACACATACACACACAAACAAACACACACACACACACACACACACACACACACACACACACACACACACACACACAAACTCCATCAGGCATTAAGTCATACAAGCAAAGACTCCGAGAAAACCCGCGTCATAAAAACTAGTCCTCCCAAACCCTTTGGCTCGTCACGGACCACATAGAAGGCACGACCACAGAATCACAGAGCCTCATAGGAACTGAAAACACCGTAAAACACGACGTGTAGAGTCAGACCTCTCATAAAAAGATATAGCTTAGGTCAATGTCCTTCTTTCAATGTCAAGTATCACCCCATGCTCCACACACCCCCTCCCATCTTCCACATCCCCTAAACCCCTTCTATCGCTTTCTCTGTTTTTACCTCTGCTTTCTCCCTCTTTTCCTCACCATCCCTCTCTTTTCTTACTCCTTCTCTCTCTCTCTCTCTCTCTCTCTCTCTCTCTCTCTCTCTCTTTCTTTCTCTCCCTGTCTCTCCATCTCTACCTCTCTCGCTCTCCACCTCTTCCTTCTTTCTGTCAAACTCTATCCAATCCCCTATTTGTCTCTTACCCTCCTACTCTCTCTCTCTTTCTCTCTCTCTGTCTATCTTTCTCTCAACCGCACCCCCATACCCCCCTCCTGTCATGTGCCCTCTAGGGCATCCCTAGTACCCCTAAGAAGACAAGGACCGACACGGAAATATACTTAAAACGATTTTTGTTCGCTCCCGTAATTGGATCTTGTCGATGGATATATCGACGTTTTGCCTTTACGGCTTCTCTAGCATGGTGCCAGAGCTAGCACGGGCCAGAGCTAGCACAGTGCAAGAGCTAGCATGATGCCAGAGCTACCATAGTGTCATAGCTACCACAGAACCAGAACTAGCACGGTGCCAGCCAGAGGTATCACGGGGCCAGAGTTGCACGATGTCAGAGCTACCATAGTGTCAGAACCAGAACGGTGCCAGGGCTAACGTGACGCCAGAGCTGCCATGATGCCAGAGCTAGCTTGACGCGCCAGAGCTAGCTTGATGCCAGAGCTAGCACAGTACCAGACTTACATGATGTCAGAACTAGCACGGTGGCAGAACTATCATGGTACCTGGGCTACCATAGTGTCAGAGATAGCGTGATGTCGGAGCAAGAATGGTGCTAGAATTAGCGAACAATGTAGTTGTTGTCTCAGCAAATGTGGTAGTGCTTAATTAAGTTTGAAAAGAATAGCATAGCGGGAACAGCATTGATGAGTATTAAAAGAAATGAGTACAGGAAGTAGAGATAGAAGGCAGGAAAGAATAGGAGAAACCTAACAGGATATTATAGGAACAAGACAACGAAATCTATCTTGGAAACAAAACAATGCAAGCAGGCAAACTAGCAAGAAAATAGAAGAGTGTTTTATTACTGAGAGAGATCCGAGAAGCAACTTCCAATTACCGGAAAACTTTTTTTTAAACTGAAGAACAAGAAGAACAAGAACGAGAACAAGATTCTACAGTCTGTGACTAAAAGGGTTACGTCTATATGACAACAATACTGCTATTCAACCTAAAGGTTTCTGCTTCAACGAATAGACACCAATGCACTTTTCAATATATTAATAATATTCTGTGAACTTTGGACTGATTTCAGTATTCACTCCAAAAAATAACATTTTCCCCTTGTTGTAAGACCGATATAACAGACAGACAGACAAAAGTTGGGCCCACCAGACGTGCCCACCAACCTTTACTCACTTTCCTTTCCCGACAGCGACGAAATTTTAGTCGAGTAGACGTATTGTAATATCTAAATTTATAATATCAATATCAATATCATTTTTTGGAGCGCCAAGGTTCCCAGTACAAACAAAATAATATTGAACAAAAGCCGTCCTTGCGCAAAGTCGGTGGTGCATCACAAGCAATTCAGAAGACAATATCTGTCGCAGACATCGGGGTCAGTTTGTCAGCTGTTGAGTTGGTTGAGAGACATCATGGTGAAGACCAGCAGGGGAGGGAGGGGGGATATGGAGGG